AGTTCCCAATAAAAAAAAAAAAAAATGAGGGTACTATTTTTATTTCTCTAAACACTTATAATATGCAGAAATGTTTTTAATGTTTTGAGAAAAAGTTTTAAAATTCACAGAGAAATTTCAATTTTTTTCTTATGGACAAATGATTCACACCAGTTCACATTATTTTTTTTCCTCATTGAGTTTATTGGTACATTTTAGGTATACAGTACAGTTACATTCATCATTGGGCTCTTGTACCTTTACCTGACAGGTCTTGGTTCTCATTTTTCCCCCTTGTTCCTGCCCTCCCTTCACCCCCTCTTCCCCTCCCCATTTACAAACACTTCATTTCCATTTTTTCATTTTCTCATATTTTTTTCTTATTAGCTTTCCCCTACCCTTCCCTCTTTTCCTACACCTTTAGCCCCTTTCTTCCTATTTCACATTGTAGTTCACATTATTACTGTTTTAATAGTTTTGCACCACAGAGAAAGTGAGGATTACTTGTGTCTATTTTTTTGACAGGCATGAACAAATTAGAATTTTTTTAGAAAGGCAATTGTGAGTTAACATTAGAATATCACTATGTTTATCCAGTACACAAATGGATTAATGAGTAAAACAATAAGATCATGTTAGTGATAAAGAAAAATTATGTGAAAAAATACAACTCCAAATGGGAAAAACTCATAGAATACTTAAAACAAATAATTTCTAAAATTCTGATAAAGAAAAGCTAAGCAGCATGGGAACTAGCAGAAATAATCAACTGGGATCTCATCTTATTAAAAAGCTTCTGCACTGCAAAAGAAACCATCAACAGATCTAAAAGACAACCTACAATGTGGGAAAAAAATTTTAACCAGCTGCTCTTCAGACAAAGGACTATTACCTAGAATATATAAATGATTCAAAACAACCACCCCCCCAATATAAAAACGCGATTCAAAAAATGGGCATCTGAAATGAACATTTCTCAGACAAAGAAGTAAAAGCAGCAAGTAAATATATGAAAAAATGTTCCACATCACTGGTCATTCGAGAGATGCAGATGAAAACCACACTGAGATTCCACCTCACCCCAGAAAGAATGGCTGCTATCAAGAAATCAACCAATAACAAATGTTGGTGGGGTTGTGGGGAGAAAGAAACCCACCCTTATCCATTGTTGGTGGGAGTGCAGACTGGTGCAACCACTATGAAATCAATATGGAGATACCTCAAAGAGCTGGGACTAGAGGTTCCATTTCACCCAGCCATCCCTCTGCTGGGTATCTTTCCAAAGGAATTAAAAGAATCATATCATAGTGATATATGCACACCTATGTTTATAGCGGCACAGTTTTTAATAGCTAAAACTTGGAAACAGCCCATTTGCCCATCACTTGGAGACTGGATAAAGATGTGGTTTTTCTGTAAAATGAAATACTACTCAGCCATAAAGAATGAGAAATTAGATTCATTCATAGGAAAATTGATGCATATTGAGGATATACTCCTAAGTGAAATAAATAAGTCACACATATATAAATACTGAGTAGTTTCTCTGGTGTGAAAAACTATAATAGTACATAAGATCCTAACGATATAATTGACCATGTGAAATAGGAAGAAAGGACTAAAGGTGTAGGGAAAATGGGAAGAGTAGGGGAAAAGTAATAAGGGAAAAGAAAAAAATATGAGAAAATGAAAAGATGGAAATAAAGTGTTTGTAAATGGGGAGGTGAGGAGGGGGTGAAGTGAGGGCAGGGACAAGGGGAAAAACTGAGAACCAAGACCTGTCATGTAGAGGTGCAAGATCCCAATGATGAGTGTAACTGTACTGTATACCTAAAATGTACCAATAAACTCAATGAGAAAAAAAAAGAGAAAAGCTAAGCAAATAGAAAGCACAAAATACACAGGAGGAAAAAATCCAAATATATCATTCATCATAATAAATATAAATATGTAAAAAGAAAAATAATTATTATGTTCATGAAAATACAGATATAATTGAAACAGAAGGCCATAGAAGAATCAGCAAAAGTGAGCTACTAAATAATAAGAAAGGAGCTAACTAACCAGGAAAGCATAACAAAATTTTTATATGAAATTAAAACCTAGCTCAAAATATATAAAGCAAACTTTGCCAAGAACTCTATGTAGGAGTTTTCTAATTCACTGCCTTAATGGGAAATTTTAGCACTTTCTTTTAAAAAATGTATAAAATCACCAAAAATCCATCAAGTAACATAATTTATAACCTTGCTGTAATATGTACAGAATTTCGACAACATTTAAACCATTGTAATATTTTTATCAATTTGTAATGAGCTTGTCTTCTAATTTTTGCTTGAAGTTTGCTTTGTCAAATGTAAATATATTTAATCCTGCTTGCTTTCAGATTCCATATGCGTGAATATCATTTTCCATTCTTTCTTTCCCTTTCCATTTGTATGTCTTTGCTAGTGAGAAGTTTTTGTGGAGGCCGCAGAGTTGAGGCTTTTTTTTTTTTTTGGTACCAGGGATGGAACTTAGGACCTTGAGCTTATGAGGCAGGCAGCAAAACCATTGAACTAAATCCCTGGCCCTTGTTTTCTTTTCAGCTTTAACCTGGCCCTTGTTTTTTAAGCTAGTCTATCAGTCTGTGTCTTCTAATTTAATAATTAAGACCTTTTACATTCAGGTTCGTTATTGGAAGGTATTAGTAATTCTTGTCATTTTGTTGTTTTTCTAATATTAGATTCCTAATTCTCATCTACATATATACTCTTCCTCTTTGTGTGTAGGATTCCTTTAATTTTCTTCTGCAATGCTGGCTTAGTATTCATAAATTTGTTTAGTCCATGCTTATCTTGGAAGTATTTATTTCTTCTTTAATTCTGAAGGATAGCTTTGTTATTCATAGTAACCTAGGTTGGAAGTTATTTTCATTCAAAGCTTGAAATACCTCACTCCACATACTCCTGGTCTTCAAGGTTTCTGCTGAAAAATCCGCAGCTATTCTGATGAATAGCACCCTTCACAGGCTGAGGGGTGCAAAACTGTAAAGTCCATTTGTAGAAGAGAGTCCTTGAGATGCCTCCTCAAGCAGGGCCATCTAGGGAATTGGTTCCCCAGGATTCATTTCGCAGCACCAGCAACCCATGTAATCAAAGCAGCTGCATGCATGATTCAAGTGGACCTGTCTACTGCTCATTCTGGCAGCACATCTTGGCAGCATCCATATGGTGAGTTTTATATGCATGAAAAGTGCAAGACTTATTAGGTCACGGAGGCTTCCACCTAGATTTCAGAAAAAAGCACGAGAGACAGGCAGTGTGTCCCTGAGTGGGAATTGCAGGAAGCTGTGGGAGTGCAGTTGAAAGTACAGTGGAAACTCCAAGAAGTTTGAGGTGCTGGAAAATGGAATATGTGCTCTGGAAAGCTGCAGACAATGACAGGACTCCCCCCAAGAGAGAGGCACAGGAGCTGCAACAAGCAATGCTAGAGAGGGGGAGCTGCCCAAGCCCTTTGGAGCTCACATCTCTCACCACAGCTCACCCCAGAGGCTGGACACAAAGCTACAGAGTTTAATGTCTGCCCTGTCGGGTTTCTTTCTGTCTTACTTTGGTTTCATTGGTTTCTATCTTATTTTTCTTCCCCATTTGTATGGAAATATTTAACTGTGTCATTGTATGTAGGAAGTGTCTAACGTTCTTATTGAATTTTAGAGGAGTTCACAGGTAACAGCTTACCTTGAGGTCTCAGAGGAGACTGTGGCCGTGGACTATTCAGTAATGCTGGAACTCAGATTCTGGAGATTCTTAGAGATGAACCAGCTCTGTTTTACATAGTGAGATGGACATGAGCCTTTTGAGGGCCAGGAGCTGAATGCCGTGGTTTATGTCTGAAATAGTCTCCAAATGTCTCATATGTTTGGAATATTATTAGATCAGGAAGGTGCCACACTCATCAGTGAATTTATGCAATTAAACACGTTAAATGTACTGGTATCAAGTGGGGCCAGTCAGAGTGGGTCACGGAGGCTGACTTACATGGGTATATTCTCTTCCCTAGCTCTGTCCTTCTTGCTGTGTTTCCGGGCTGCCGTGGGACGAGCAGCTCCTCTCTGCACAGGGCCTATCACGATGCCATTTCCACCCTGGAGACCATTAATAACGGACACAATAAATTTCTTCCTTCAGTTGTGGGTGTTGGGCATTTTGTCTCAATGTTGACAAAGTGACTAATATATTTCATCTTTCTCTATTATATTTTAAGTTTAATATGCCATGGCTAGCTTGTCTTTTATCGATCGTGCCTGTTGTAGGTTCTAAATACCTCCTGTACTGGGACATATATAACTTTATGAAGATTTGTAGTAGTTTTTTGAGTATGTTGAGGCTCATCATCAGGTTATTTGAGCTTGCTCTGCTCTTTTAAAAAAATTTTTATTTTAGCCACATATATATTATTTTTTTTTCTGATACTGAGGATTGAACTCAGGACCTTGAGATTGCCAGGCAGTTGCAGCACCACTGAGGTACATCCTCAATCCAAGATCTGTTTTTTTTTTTTTTTTTTTATGTTAACATTGACTGTAATAGATTTCCCTCTTAGGATTGCTTTCCCTGTGCCCCGCCTGTTCTGTCATTTTTTTACTGGAATTGTCATTTGATCCCAGAAATTTTTAAATTTCTTCCTTGATTTTATTATGTAACCCACTAGATGTTCATAAGTGTGTTATTCTCTGAATCAAGATCCACTTGGTTTGATCTAGCACTGCTTTTATAGGTCTGAGTCCTCCATAGTTAAAAGAGCACTGGCCCAGAGAATTCTGTAGTTAGGGATGTGACCACGAGGTGGCAGAGTAGCTCAGCGGCTGCAGAATAAGGTTTTGCGCGACTAGGCTTGGGGCAGGAGTAACTTTTTCCTTATTGGCTGAGTAGATCAGAAACCACTATAATTGTTAGACGAAGAAGGGAACAACCAGAGACGAGAAGTAACACACACAGGTGGAGTTACCAGTCTGTGACTGATCCTCACTGGAATGAAAAATGAAGACAGTCATTCAGGCTTTGTTCACATTCTTGTACTTCCAGCTGCACCGTGAGTTTGGGGACCACAGAATATATAAGAGATGGTCTTTATACGTCTAGGTAGAACTGGATGTATTCGGGTTTCCTGTAGTTACTGAAGAGAAAAGCAATTCTGGAGAGTGACTACTTGACCACCTTTTGCTTTCCCTTTTTCTTACATACAGTGGGCCGCGGAGAGCAGGTGGAGCAGCGCCCTTCCACCTTGAGAGTCCAGGAAGGAGACACCTCCGTGATCAACTGTACTTATTCAGACAGTGCTTCATCCTACTTCCCTTGGTATAAGCAGGAACCTGGAAAGGGTCCCCAGTTAATTATTGACATTCGTTCAAACAAGCAGAAAGAGCAAAAGCAAAGACTCGTTGTTTCACTCAACAAGGCAGCCAAGCACTTCTCCCTGCACATCACAGCCACCCAACCTGGAGACTCAGCTGTGTACTTCTGCGCGGCTGTGCACATTGCTTCCTAGGCACCTGCAGCCTGTGCAGGAACCTGCCCCTGGCCTGGGCCCACCCACTTTCCATGAACACGGATCTTCCGTTATGGAATTTGCTGTAATGATTTGGGACATCTGTCATAGAGATACAAAAAGCATATAATAATAAATTTAGATTCAAGATGACAAAATTGAAAGCATTTTGTTGGCTGGCTGTTGCATCACAGATATGTAAAATTTGATTTTTTATTTATTCAAGGCACACAGCTTAGAATTTTTATATCCAAAGTAAGAAATGAATAATAAATCAGCAGATGTATAGTACAGGATCTGGAGCACATGCCATGAGACCTGCACTATTCCCAAATTCAGGCATATCCACGTGGTCATAAAGATGTGCTGAGTGAATTCTTACAGGGATTTAGGATGTTTCATCTTGAAATTCATGCTGTAAAGGTGAGCTTACATTAGCTATTTAGATTCATATAAATAATTCAATGTCATAATTTCTGATATGCATGCATTTTGAGAGCTTTCAAAATTGTATTTGTTAGTTTTCTCAAGCCAAAACTGTTTAGAAGAAGCAAAGGAGGCCACTTTACATTGGTTAAAGGAACAATTCAGCATTTCTATTGTTAGTGGAGATAAAATTGTTCCATTTATCAAATACTTGTCATAGGCTAAGTTTTGGTCTGTCTTAGCATTTACACTATAATCATAGATCTCTTTTCTACAGTTAAGGGTGGCACTTTGTTGGTTCTTAGGGTATGTCTATTTAGTTTGTCTTTGATGTTATTACTGATGCTGTGTTTATTTCTAAAGCCAAGGTGACATCGTTGTTGCTATCCATTGCTTTTTATGTATGCCAATGTCTGGGTTGGCTTAGTTTCACTAACAATACTCCTGCTGATTCCTGGAGAACTGGGTACTGGGCCAAATACACTGTACTCCCCCACCCCAAAAATGGAAGCGGTTTATCCTGGGGCAGAAGCAAAGGCCTATAGTTAGTCTGCCCAGAGTGCATCACTGAAAAGCAGACATTACCTAAAGAGGTCTCCATACTAGAACTTAATTTTCCATAATAGTCAAACCTCAAACCCCCAAAAGCCAAATAAGCAAAAATAGAAAAATTAGAAGACAAGGCAATACAAATGCAAAAACTCCCAACTCCCCTAGTCAAGGTTGTTCCGTGGGGTATGAAGGAGGAGGGAAGCAAAAGCCTAACAGCCAAATTATTTGAAAGGATAAGAGAGGAGATTAAAAAAAAAAATCTTCCTGGTGCTTGACCAGTACAAACAAAACATAACAAATAATGACCGTACTAAAGCAATCAGCAAGTCCATGGACAACACTAATAAAAAGTGAGCCAAGCTAAATAAAACAATACAAAACAAGAATTCCGAATCAGAGTCCATAAAATGGTACCAAGCAGAAATTCAGGAGATTAAAGATTCCACAGAAAATATGTACAGCAGATGTGACCAATGAGAGGTGAGAGTGGCTGAACTAGAAAACAGGGCAGGTATTGGTAATAAATTAATGAGAGATAAATAGAAACAATGAGTGCATGAAAAATGGACCTGACAGCTGCTAAATGACACAAAGAAGACTAATCTAACCACCTGCCTCACAAGTGCAAGGACCTGAGTTTGATCCCTGCTAGAAAAAGAAGACAAAGCTAAGATTAATTAGTGAAAAATCAGTTTATCCTGGTACCAAAAAAAAAAAGAAAAAAAAAGAAAAAAAATCAATGAATTGAAAAGTTGGTTCTTTGCAAGAATAAACAAAATAGACAAACTCCTGCCAGAAATAAAAACCTCAGAAAGTTTGTGATGATTCTATGTGTGACACATGTTCACAAAATAGTCTTTGAGGACACTAACCTAAGTGGACAGTTGACATCTGAGATGTGCACTTCTGGAGCCAGCAAGGGAAGAGCCTCGAAACCTCACAGATTTAAAACCATTCCCCTTACAGTAGTAAGGAGACGACCACAGCAAAAACAAAACTAGCTTATTGGTGCTCTTCTTGGCCATTCAATGTATAGCAAAAGGGCTGTGTAAGAAGGAAAGAAACCAGGTGAGAATGAATGATGCCCTTTTTCTGCCATCCCTGCCAGCATTTATCCTTGCACATAAAAGCCTATTTCAATGTGTTTCCGAGAAGTCTCCCTCTCTGTGGATTCAGAGAAAACAGCTACTGAGACCTGCAGAAAGGTGTAGAAAGTAAGGGACTACAGACTGGGATAGAAAATTTCAGTCTGGATATTGTTCATATTCAAACTCAACCCTCTTTCTCCTCTTTCACATGAAAACTATCAAACCTAACCCAAGAAGATGTGAAGATGCTTAACAACCCAATGATAAGCAATGAAATTGACTCAGTAATAGAGAATTTACCAAACACAAAAATACCCAGGACTTGGTAAGTCATATGTTGGCCTGCTATAAAGCGGTTACCAAGAGACACATCCCTAACCACACATATGTCATCATTTGAAAGCCTACTCATTTCATAATAAATTCATAACATTTAGTTTTTTTCATCAATATGACAAGAGGTTTCCCTTCCTAACTTCTTTTTTAAACAGCCTTTATACGATTTAGCTCAGTGGTTTCACGGCCTGCCTCGAAAGCATAAGCTCAAGTTCAATGCCTGCTACCCACCCCCCCAATACATAAACAGCAAATAGCCTTTATGAGACCTAAACCTGCATGAGTCAGTGTTCCAAAAATAATCTCAGAGAAAGATGGCTTTTCATCTGTGGGAATGACCTCATGACAAACTTTATGCAAATGCAGCAGATAAAGTACAAGGAATTGATCCTTGATTACATTTTACCAACTACTATGACATCATCTATCCTTAAATAACAGGAATTAAAACCTTGCACTAAATATCTTAATTATTCTTCTCAAGAGAGTCTCCATAAGCAGACAATCCTCAGAAGATAAGAGCTGACCCAGGATTCCAGAAATAGCAGGTCCATGCATAAAGTAGACAGCACAGAACAGAGCTCTCTGATTGCTAAGGTTTCTGATGGTCAAACTCTCCTTTGCAGGCTATTGTTTTTACCCTGTTATTGATGTTTATCACTTTCATAGTGGAATTGTATATTTCAAATCTACTGTACATTGCTCTTTCACTAATAAAATAACAGTGAGGTGTAAGTTTTACTTAAGGTAATAACCATGTTAGTGTGTTAATTCAGTTCTACAAAGCCACTGCTTGTGCAGCAAACTTAAAGAATTATTAATCCGTCATTCCATGCCACTCCTAGGCAAATACAAACAAAAATCTGGCTTTGATGAACAAAAAGAGAATTTTGAATTAATAAAATTAGCCTAAAATGTTGGAAAAATATGTATTGATTAAAAAAATATATATATATGGAGGGGGGGCTCTTCCCTTGCTGGCCCCAGAAGTGCACATCTCAGATGTCAACTGTCCATCTAAGTTAGTGTCCTCAAAAACTATTTTGTAAACATGTGTCACACATAGAATCATTACAAACTTTCTGAGATGATTAATTTTAAATTCTGAAAGAATTGGTTTTATCAGTAAGAGGAGATATTGCCATAGATATATTTTTACTTTAATTCCCTTTATACACAAAGAACTATCATCTTTCTATGAGATGCTTCTCCACATCAGCAGACATCTTTCTACAAACTCTAAAAGGTGAAATGGAGCTCATTCTTTGGTTTTTGAGGAAAATTCACATTCAGTGGTATCCTCTCCTGTGATGACAGTAATTTTACTGAACTATGTTGGTCAATACTATTAGCAGACAGATATATGTAGAAATCACACGAGGCAAAATTTCCATGAAGCTTAGTATCAGAACAAAAACAATTTTGAAGCCACATGCACTAAAGAAATCACTTACAAAAAGGCCACTCATCTAGGTATTGTTGTTATCCTGGGATGGAAGAAACCAATGTCAGATAATTTTATAGGTGATTAAATGACTTTATTATATATACATATAAAACTTTTTTTCAGTGCTGAGAACCTAGGGCTCACACATTCTTGTCACCTCTCTACCACTAAGCTATATCCTCAGCTACTTACTATATGTGTAATATAAAATTTCCTTTTTCTTTAGAAGCTTTCATTAAGTTCCATTTGCTATAATTGATATCTTCAGTGTTAAGCGATATATTTTAAGTAGTGGCACTTCTCAACCAAAGATAAATCATTTATCCATTTATCTGTACATTTAAGAAATATTTGCTAATTGCTCCTAGATTTCTTACATTTTTCCTTGTGTAGGACTAGTACAATGAACAAAAGTTTAATTCTGTACCATCTAACCTCACCAGCAGATGACCAAAAATTCATTACTACTCTTCTGATTTTATCCTAAAATTTGATTATATGATTTTTCATCAGATCACAGCATTGTCCAAATGGCTAAGAGAGAGTAAAATTAAATTCTTCTTAGAAATATTGTAGTATGGAGTTTCCTAGTAAGCTGATGTTAGGGTAAAAGTATGAAAAATACCAACTATTCTTTAGAATTACGTAGGACTACCTGACAGTTAACAGGTGTCTTAGAAAAAATGGAAATACAGCACTGACTTTTGAAATAAACAGGTTATAAGCAGCTGAATTTACTGTCTAGCCCATCAGGGGGAGCACCTTCCTCTCTCTCTCTCTCTCTCTCTCTCTCTCCCTCACACACACACACACACACACACACACACACACACACCTCTTTTTTTCTTCTACTCCAAGCCTTTGTATGTGTTAGCATCAACTTCTTAACTGAAATTGTTAATGGTTGCTCTCTCTCTCTCTCTCTCTCTCTCTCTCTCTCTCTCTCTCTCTCTCTCACACACACACACACACACACACACACACACACACACGTCCCTTTTTTTCTTGAGTCATATTCATCTTTCACAGAGACATTAAACTTCGTTTACATAAGCCAAGATTCATGTCTGGAGACTGAAAATGAGCTGTTCTCCAGGACCAGTGATTGTACTACTCTTAATGATCGGTAAGTAAAATGACCCATTAAGCTTAGTCTCTTTTTTTGATGCCATGTTTTTGTTCTATGTTGTTGATACATTTTTTTTTTTTTTTTTGTACTGGGTATCAAACTTGGGACCTTGCTTCTGTTAGGCAGACGGTGGAACCACTGAGCTAAATCCCCAGCTGCTGATGCAATTTTTAACCACAATTTTCTCTCAGAGGCAGAAGCCATATGTCAACCAAGGTCAACTGCACAGAGTTGATATTACCTTATTCTTTTTTAGGAAGAGTCAATGGAGACTCAGTGAACCAGACAGAAGGCCAAGTGACGGTCTTTGAACGAGCTTCCCTAACACTGAATTGTTCTTATGAAACCAAACAGTATCCAAACCTATTCTGGTATGTCCAATACCCTGGAGAAAGTCTGCAGCTCCTCCTGAAAGCCATGAAAGCCAATGATCAGGGACGAAACAAAGGTTTTGAAGCCACATATGTTACAGAAACCAGCTCTTTCCACTTGAAGAAAGCCTCAGTGCAACAGTCAGACTCGGCTGTGTACTACTGTGCTCTGAGGGACACAGTGGCAGGAACTGCGGGGTAGCTGAGCACAAACTCTAAGCAGCAGCCAGAGGCCTGGCTGCTGAGTGTTTGCCTCAGTATCCACTGAAGTTTAGGGACCAGGAGCTAGTCTATTCTTTTTACCTTCTACCACCCACCACCAGCAATGTTTTTGTGTAAAAAGTCATCCAAATCAATGCTAAGAATACACCAGAAGTGAATGTGCCTCACACAAGATACTTTAATAGTGAAAGAGTCTATCAAACTAGTTTCTCAACCATGCCAGACAATTGTGAGTTTTAAAAGCACAAACCTTCAGGATGACTAAAATGGTCTAAATGTTCATCCTCACATACAATTCTATATTCTTGAGCTTGTTCAAATTCATTCAGTGAAATGTTTTATATAGAGATACAACAGTGGCATATGAGACTGCAAATGCTTAATGTCTTTTCCCAAGTTGGGGCAAGAAGGGAGTGATTCTGAGAGAAGATTTGTCCCAAGAAATAACTGTTTCATAACAAAATAAACATTTAGAAGAGGGGGAAGATAGGGTTCTACATATAACCACATCTTTGGAAAGAGATGATGGAACATTTCCTAGTTTTGGGGGAAATTACATCATATAAATACAATGGTGTTCTCCAAAATGGGTTACTTTTTTTTTTTTTTTTAACCAGAACCACTACAAGCCTTTATTGTAGGCACAATCTACAGGGCTGTTTCTGAACAAAGCAGAGAGAGCAATATGGCTGGGACAGGGAGTATCTTTTATAGGGGCTGGGAGGGGTTTACAGAAGCTGAGGTAGGATTGAGTGAGGTAGTGGCTAGGGATTGGAAGAGCATGTGATGTTACTAGGAAGCGCTTGTGATGTCACTAGTGGCTTGTGTCATCTCTAGTTGCCAGGAGGTAGCGAGTATCAGGTCACTGTCTTGATGGGAAGAGGCATGGTGGGAAGAAGGCTGTCCTTTAGTGGCAAAAGCCATATTTTTTAGGTGAGAAGCAGGGCATTATGGGAAGGGAAAGGCTATTCTTTTTATGTAGTGGCCATCTTAAGATGAGGGAAATCTAACATTTCAGGCTTTTGTTTTATGGTTATTGGGTGAAGGTCTCTTCCTCTGGAGCTGCTTCAAGCTGGCAAAGGGGTGAAGATTGGGGCTAAATCTGGATCTAATGGGGGCAGCAATAGATGGGCTCTTCCTCCTTCTGTTGCAGTGGCTGGTACTCCACCATGATGAGTTCTGTGACTGGTTGGTAAATGCCCTCATGTGTTCCTGCAAGAAATTTTGAAAACAGCAGAACAGACACAGGCCTACCATGGCCAGAAGACACACACAGGTCACTGGGCCCAATGAAGTAGCAGTGGCATAATCTGTTGGAGCCAGGAGTAGTCTTGGGTCATTCCTCACGTACCCCATTGTTTCTTAAAGTTTTTGATGCAGTATTATAATTCTTTAACCTTGGCCTTGACTGTGCCTGATTGGTTAACAAATTAAGACACTCTTCACCCAGAGCCTTGGCACTTTCCCCTTAGGCTGCTGTCAGCATGTCGAAGGCATGTCTGTTTTGGAGCACAACAGCTGCTAGGAAATTAATCTGGTCCTGACTATGTTTAGGGATTGGTTTATTTTGTCTATGTCTTCTGAGATCTCTACTGACAATGCGTGATAGAAAGGTGCAGAGGTAGAGAGATACATGCTATACCCATTGTCATGCCAATGAGGACCCTTGTTTCCATTAAGAAAGGGACCAGAAGGGGGGCCGCCTCTTGACCTCTGACAGTGGGAGGATCCTTTCGAACATCTGGGATTCTGTATAAGATGGTCAAGGGAGGGCTGAGAGATGCTATGTAACAGAAAATTTCAGATCGGCTGAGGTGTTGGAACGCTTCCTGGCTGCATATGAAGTATAGGCCATTGGATAGGCAGAACAGGCACTCTTCTGTGATAAAGAGGAAGCACGCAAGGCAAGTGATGGTGTCAAAACTGGGTTAGGTTATTTATGACCCAAAACTGTAGAGATCTCCCATCCTCCACAATTTCTCACCGAGCTAGCTTTTTATCAACAAGAAATTATTTGGGAAAGATGGGCAGTATTTAGGATCTGAATAAGGAAAATTTCATTGAGATGAGTCTTATCTAGTGACTGGAGCTGGAGGGAATCTCAGTTTCCTCAATATCTTTCCAGCTATTTCTCTGACAGGAAGAATACAAGGAGTGGGAGATAGCTGCAAGGACTATGAGAGGAAACTTGGCAAATCAGAATCTTTGTATTTAGTTGCAGGAGTCTTGATGTCTTTGAAAATACTGGAGTTTTTTTTTTTGCCTTTCCTACTGTAAATCCTTAATTGATGTCAGTTTATTGGCCCATAAAGTGTACATTTTATGTTACATGGGTCCTTGGGCAAAAAAATGTGCATGTAAAGGGATACTTGGCATAGTTCCCTGATGCAAAGGCTATACAGGAAATCCGCTCTGTGGATTACTGACCTTGTTATCCAGGAAACCTTGCCCAAAACTCTTTCATTTTCATTATTTTCCTTTCTTAGTGCTCTGTCTTATGTTATTTTTTAAAGAGGACTCCATTCTAAGTCTTTTTCATTAGTTGAACACAAAACTCACATCAAAATTTATGTACTTACAGTACAAACATCATTGTAGGTCTCTGGCTCACAATCACATGTAAATTCCAAATTCTTATGGTTGGTAATGAATCAGGAAATTTCTTGCAAAGTCTGCTGGTGACGGATCATTGAGCATTTTGTTATTTAGGTCATACACCGATAGCAAAGCATACAATGTGTTACTTCTTTCTGTCTCAGTGATAGGGTTATGTGACATACTACCCAAATGGATAACTGAAAAGAGGAACAGATCAGCCAAGCTGAAATGGCAGCAAAGAACTGAAAAATGATAATATTGAAAGCCAAATTCAAAGAGAAAGTAAACAAAGTAATAGAAGAGATAGTTGAGGGCCAGAGATTTAACTCAGTGATTCCACTGCCTGCCTTGCAAGCTCGAGGACCCAAGTTTGATCCCAGGTTACCCCCCGCCGAAGAAGTTGATCATGGTCACATTGACACTGCTGCCTTCAAAAAACTACATATGCAGGCCAGGTATTTACCTCAGAGGTGCCACCACCTGCCATGCAAGCACAAGGTCCTGAGTTGGAGCCCCAGTACCTAAAAAAAGAGAAACTACATATGAACCAGTGAAGACAAACCTAGCAAAAACGGTGAAGAAGGTGGTTATGATGAAAAGAATGAAGCAGTCCAAGAGAGTGACACCACTGAAAAGCTTCGTATTAAAGGAACATGTAACAACTGAAATGTAACAACAGCATTACAAAACATGGGTAAGCATAAGTGCAAATTCTCATGACATCGTGTTGGGCAAATTTATTTTAGATATGACATCAAAAGACCAAGAAATAAAATGAAAATAAATCAGCCTTTAAAATTCATCAATAAAGTAAAAGGAAAACCCCCAAGTGGGACAAAAATATTTGAAATAGTATATCCGATAGGATGCCTCCAAGAAGAATGTAAAAACATCTCTCACAATGCAGCAATAAATAATAAGCCAATTAAAACTGGCAAAGGATGTCAAAGGACATTTCTCCAAAGATAGTATTCAAACGGCCAAAAAGCACACGAAAAGAGAATAAGCATCATTAGTCTGTAGGAAAATTTAAATCAAATCTAAAATGGATTAGAAAAACCCCTAAAATGGATACCATCTGACTATCAGTAAGATAGATAATATAAAAGGCAGATGACATAGCCAGATGTGGACAAATTGGAATCTTCATATATTTCTGGTGAGAATGAAAAATGTTGCAGGTACACTGTAAAGCAGCAATTCTGTTCCTATTTCTTTACCAAAGAGAAATGAAAACATGCATCTATACAAAAAGTTTTTCAAAGATGTCAATGTCAACATTACTCATCATAGCTAAAAGTTAGGAAGAACCCGGTGTTCAACAGTTGGTGAATGGAACCCTAAAATGTGGTATATCCATAAAGTGGAACTTAGCAAAAACAGTGGAATAATACGATAAATATTACAGCATGTATAAATTTGAACTATGCAAAAGCAAGTGGGTATCAGACATAAAAGGTCACGTGATATCTAACTGGCTTATACACAATGTCCCATACAGATACATCAATTTCACTATGTATTTAGACTTCTAATTGCCTAGGTGGCAGGGGTGATGGGAAGGGAAATGAGTGTGAAGGGTAGTGGGCAATGAGAGTGTTAGAATTGATTTGGCTGATGACTGAGCAGGTATGTGAAAATATTAATAAGGATTGAAATTTAAATGGCTGAGTTGTGCAGCTGGTAAATCAGATTTCAATAGAGCTGTTAAAAATGTAAATCTCTAGACAAAAATATGTGGTATGTCTGGGCACTTTAAAAGCAAAATCAAGTAAAGGGAACAATTTCTAGTGGCTCGGCCTTCCACCCCTACTCAGACTGTACCCACTTGTCTGTGTTGGCTGAAGCCCTTCTAAGCCTGCTCACTGGTGTTCCTTGTCTTCACCCTGCCAGACTGCAGTCTGTTTGTGAGACAGCAGCAGAGTCATCCTTTAAAATCATGAGATTAGTTTGTGATATTCTTTTAAAGCAAGGAAACATCAGCAAGAAGACAACCTTTTCTCAACCCTAATGTCTCGTATCACAAAGAATAAAAAGCAAAACTTTTGCGTGGATTTAAATGCTGTACATGATGTGCATGCTATAAATAAGGATACCTACTTGTTCCCTTCAGCCCACTCCCCTGCCTTGAGATTTATCCCTGGAATATCCACATGGCTTCCCTTTTTAATATTTGCTCTTTTCTCTTCTTAGCATGGTCTTTTCTAACCACCCTGGAGCAGCAGCACCTCTCATTGCTTGATGTCTCTCAAACAGCTTCTTTTTTTTTCTAAAACTATGTAAATTTAAATACTTATCTCTGAATAAATGAACGTTCATACATAGTTCTCTTTTTTTCTTTTCTTTTTGGCTTATTCACAACACCCATTTACTTAACTGGGAAGGGTCAGAGAAGGAAAGACAGTAATGCACTATTTTTGAAATACATTTGGTCATCTACCGGTGAGCTCCATTACATCAAAAGAACCAAATGGGCTTAACATTTCACTTAAAATAATTCAGCATTAACGGTTTTTACAGAAACAAATAACTTAGAACCAAATAAATTATACAGTCATGCTAATGAAAACTTCTTCTTGGAGGGTTATGGCCAAAATCCAAAAGGTAGGACAATCTTCTGAAAAACTGGAACGCAGAATGTTTTGTTCGATTTAGATATCATCGTCTTCATCATCATCCCCGATGTCATCAAACTGAATTTCATCATCGTCTCCAGGACCAAATGTATCCGTTTCATTGATCTTAGCATGCTCAGGAAGCTCGCCATACGCTTTCAGACTTCTTGCTTCATCTGCATTGTATTTTAGAATCACATCAGCCTTGTTATCCTGGTAGTCTCGGAGACCAACCAATATGATGTCTGAGGTATTTATCCAAACCTTTTTTCTCAGTTTCCCTCGGATGTGACATAATCTCTTCACACCATCAAAACACATGGCTTCTAACCGTCCGTTTCCCAACATCTTGATTACCTGGGCATATTCTTGCCCGTCCTCTTTGAACACCAGTTCTCTTTTCTCAGATTCGTTCTCATTCTTACCTCTGCGTCTGTTTTTACCTCCTTTACCTTTATTTTTGGGCATGGCGGTTAACGAGGGTCGCGCGGCTCG